TCCTGACTAAATACGGTGCTGTAATCTGAGAGTTCACGGTGCCAGGTGTGGCAGGGGTCTGGGCTGGACAGGTGGGCAGAGTCAAGAGTTTGACGCTCCAGACCCTCTCTGGGATCTGTGTATGCCTGGGGCCCTCTGAGATGCAGTCTGGAGATGTCAGGAGTCTCCTCAGTGGGGAAATGGATAGAGAATCCAGAACTCAGGACCCTTGACAGACATCCTAATGATGCTAGGTGTAAGGTCATCAGTCCCAGGTTTGGGCCCAGGCTCCAGGTCTGGGATCTCTCAGTTCAAACTCAAGCTCCAAGTTCCAAATGTGCCATGGTTTGAATTCTATGTTCAAACCGAGTCCAAGTCTGGGATCCTGGACTCTCAATGCTGGGTTCCTGGTCCTGCCACCAGACCTGCCAGCTGGTCCTCATCGCGCAGCTTCCTCGTGGCGACCCCCACAGCCTGCGCAGCCGCATCGAGCCGCAACCCAATGGCACGCACGCAGGGGCGCATAGCAGCAGAGGCAGGGTACGGCCAGTGAGATCGCAGCCAGCGCTGCCCAACGCGCAGCAGGGCGCGGGTGGCCCGGCTCGCAGGCGCACGGGTCCGAGAAGTCACCCTCGGCATCTGACAGGCAATGGTAGAGCAAGCTCTCGGCGCACCACAGGCAGCTGAGACGTCGCACCAGCAGGCGACCCGGATCTGGGGCCTCGGCGCAGCGGCCCCCACGCCCATCCGCACGGCGGAAGAGCGCTCGGCAGTGCACACAGCGCGCAGCCTCCTCCGCCTCTGGGGAGGCCTTAGCTGGTGCAGGGGTGGGGCCCGGGGGTGGGCGAGCCGGGGGTGCTGGGGGCGTAGACTCGGTAAGAGGGGCAGGTAATGACACTGGGGGACCCAGGGCTGCACCCCTCAACGTGCCAGTCTTGGCAAAGCGCACAACACAGGTGGACAGGGCGAGGGGCGCGGGTGGTCCAGAGCGTTGGTAATCCTCATAGCCGCGGCCACCCCAGCCCGGGCCTCCTGCCCCGGCCACAGGCTCTGAGGGCTCCGGAATCCCCGTAAACGGCAGAAGCGGAGGGTAGCTCTGAGCCAAGGAGCAGCGGCGCTGGGGCGGCGTGGTGGGCCCGAAGACAGAGTCAGACTCCACCGTGGCAATGGGGGCTGCGGCAGTGGGAGGCATCTCCTGGCGGCTATGACTGGAGGAGGAGTCGCTGTCCACGTGGGACTCAGAGCTCACCTCTGAGCCTCAGTTTCCTCCTCTGTAAAATGGGGGTCCTAATAGTACCGTCAGAGGGCAGGGGGTCTCTGCGGTGTCCTGGGAAGGGGAGGAGGAGGAGGAAGAGGAGGGGGTGAGCGAGCCTCGGCCCAAGGCAGCCAGGGCAGCCAGTAGGCTCTTCTGGAACTCATCAGCCTCAGCGGGACTCTGAAACGTCAGCCCAAACTTGCAGTCACCCAAGCTCCAGTGGTGGAAGATGGGGTTCACTTTGTTGTAAACCAAGCCTGGCCTCAGGGTGCATTCCAGGGTGGTCTGGGAGGCTCCGGCCGGGCTCTGAGCGGCGGCAACGCGGCCTCCTCCTCCTCCTTCTCCTGCTCCCTCCCTTTAAAAATGTTTTAAAAGGTTCATTTCCCACTGATTCAGGCGCTGAATTTCTTCTATCTGATATATTTCATATATAAATATGCCTTTCAGCCAGACATGTGACACATGCTTATAATCTCAGCACTTGAGAGGCTGAGGCAGGGCTGCTGTGAGTCTGCATAGTGAGTTCAAGGCCAGTCTGAACTACATAATAAGGGCTGGGGAGATGGCTCAGTAGAATAAGTACTTCCCTGGCAAGAGCAAGGGTCTGAGTTCAATCCCCGGTTCCGCAAAAAAAAAAAAAAAAAAAAAAAAAAAAAAGAGAGAATGAACTACATAATAAGACCCCACCTTAAAAAAATTTTTAAAAAAATCAATGATTCCACTACACTGACCTACTATTGCAATCAAGGAAAAAGTTCAAACTTCTAAAAGTTTGTAGAGGCTGGAGAGATAGCTCAGAAGCCTAAGCACCTACCTGGCAAGCACAATGACCCAAATTCAATCCCCAACCCCACATGCCATGCATTCACCGCCCCAGATGCAGGAGCCCATTGTGCAGTCTGAAACTGGGCATAATGGCACGCCAGTAATCCCAGCACTCTTGGGAGGTTGAGCCAGGAGGATCTCTGTGAGTTTGAGACCAGCCTGGAGGCTACAAAAGTGAGTACGAGATCAGCCCGAACTGCATAGTTACCTGTCTCAAAATAACAAAAACAAAAATAAAAAAACCCAAAAGTTTGTAAAGGGCAGGGGGTGTAATGGTAGAGGATTTGCCTAGCAGTGTGTGTGTGTGTGTGTGTGTGTGTGTGTGTGTGTATTTGGCACTCCATGCTCTGTCTTGGTGTCCGGCTCAGCATGCCCAGGGCAGGGCCGGAACAGCATGTGCTGCCAAGGATCGAATCCTGATCCCTGCAGTTGCCTAAACAGGTACCTAGTCCGCTGAGCTATCTCACTGGCCCTTTTCCTAGCATTCTGAGGCACTGCATTCACTCTCAAGTACCAAAAAATAAACACACAAGTTTGTACTGATCTTCTGATCTCACTAAAACTTCTCACCCTTTGCTTATACAGTATTCCTCTATACTATCAGTTTCTTTGCAAAAATTATACTATGGTTACAAAATGATACCTAACTTACAGAAGAAAACAAACACCAAAAACAGACATAAAGCTCTCCACCACTGAGCCAGATGTGGCAGCTCACACTTGTAAGCCCCGCACTGGGGAGGCGAAGGCAGAAAGGTCACTGTGAGTTCAAGCCAGCCTAAACTACATATGGAGACCCTATCTTTAAAAACAGTATCTCTAGGGGGCCTGCCCCTTAGCTCAGCTCTTTAAGTGCCTGCTTCAACAAAGTAGTCAGGCTCAGGTTGCTGTGGTTCAATCCCCAGAACTCAAACCAGCCAAATCTGCCCTGAAGGCATTCGGAGCAAAAAATATAAATATATATCTCTAGCACATACTCTGACTTACTTTTTCTAGTCTGTAGGTCTAGCTCAATGGTAGACTATTTGCCTAGCATGCTAGAGGCCCTGGGTTCAATCTCTAGCACCAAAAAATATTTAAGGAAGACTGGTGGTGCGTATCTATAATCCTAGCATTCAGGAGTCTGAGGCAGGAAGATTGCCATGAGTTTAAAGCCATGGAACAGCATGGCTCAGCTCTTTGTACTGATCTTCTGATATCACTAAAACCTCTCACCCTTTGCTTAAAGGCCAGTCTGCACTATATAGTGAGACCCTGTCTCAAAAAAAGAAAAAGGAAAAAAAAATTGTATTTTACATTTATTTATTTTTGTCTTTTTGAGATAGGGTCTCCCAAGGCCAGCCAAATAGCTCATCGGATTAAAGTGCCTGCAAGCAGGCACAAGGGCAGGGGGTTCGATCCCTGGGCCTGTTGTACTGGCCCCAGGCATGCTGAGATGGCAACTCAGACTGGGCTTGTGCTGGGGAGCTAGCGCAGTAGAATAAGCGCTTGCCTGGCAAGCACAAGTGCCTGAGTTCAATCCCTGGTTCCACAAAAAAAAAAGAGAGAGAAAAAAAGAGAGGAGAGAGAGAGAGAGAGAGAGAGAGAGAGAGAAGAGAGAGAGGAGAGAGAGAGGAGAGAGAGAGAGAGAGAGAGAGAGAGAGAGAGAGAGAGAGAGAGAGACTGGGCTTGGTGGCACACGCCTGTAATCCCAGCTCTTGGGAGGCTGTAAACAGGTGGATCACTACAAGTCCAATCTAGTAGTGAGACCCTGAACACCCTGTAGACCATTTCATAAAAAAATACCCCCCCAAAAAAAAGAAAAAAGAAAAGAAAAGAGATAGGGTCTCCCAATGCAGTTTAGGTTGGCCTTAAACTCATTTCGCAGCTCAGGCTGGTCTTGAACTTACAATGATCTGCTGGTCTCAGCCTCCCAAGTACAGGGATTATAGGTTTACTTACAGGCATGTGCCACTATACCTAGCTGTTACATTTTTAAAATAAATACCTTTTCTTTATTATTCTAGTTGAAGAAACAAGTTGTTCAGGAGGAAAAAAGGTCAAACCCATGTCACATGGATACTTTATATATGTAACATATATTAATCAATAAAATCACTACCAGTACTTAAATTCTATGTTAAGTCTATATGAAGACCATGAAAAGGTATTCTTCTCTTCCTTTTTTTTCAGTCTTTTTTTTTTTTTTAAAGGTTTTGAGGGCCAGCACAATAGCTCAGCAGACTAAGCACCTGCTTAGGCAAGTGCAGAGACCCTGGCTTAATCCCCGGCACTGCATGCCATACTGGCCCTACCCCTGGGCGCACTGAGCCAGACAGAGACCTGGCATGGTGATGCAGGCCTGTAATCCCAGCACTGGAGAGGCTGAAAACAGGAGGATCGCAATGAGTCAGAGCTGTGTAGTGAGGCCCTATAGCAAATACATTTTTAAAAAGAAAGAAAGAAAGAAAGAAAGAAAGAAAGAAAGAAAGAAAGAAAGGAAAAAATAAAAAAAGACTATTGAGGCAGGGTCTCACTGAGTAGTCTAGGTTGGTCTCAAAATTCATGGCAATCCTAGTGCCCATCAGTCTCCCAAGTGCTAGGATTTCAAGCATGTATTACCATACCAGGGGAAACATTTTAAAAACACAAATTCCCCTTCCAAATAAAATTTTAATATATTCTCACCTGTTCAGTAATTGAGCTCAAATCATTTGATGAAAAATCTTCCTCTTCATTCTCGAAAAATTCATAGTAATTTTCCAAAAGTCCTGCCATTATCCTGCTCACTATTTCTTGTTCTTTCATATCTTCCACATCTGTGTAAATG